CTCTTTTTTTTGTTCACATAAAAATTTGTAGATATATATTTAAGATTTCAACCATAACTTAAAAGTTTATGCACATGTGTTGGATTCTCTTGAAAATAAACTCGTAAAGTATGAAGATGACTCGCTGTCTTTGGTACATAGGAAACTTCAAAAGCGGCTCTTACAGTATACTCGAATATCTTTATCTCACTCTCTTGTCTCAAACTATTGCTGTTGCTGTCTTTCTTGCTGGGTAAAGATGTAGAAAGAAGCCGCTGATTCTCTCTCTTTCTCTCTCTCTCGCTCGAGTGCATCTTCGATGAGAGAAACAAGCGACTGTGTCTATATATATGCGCCATTCTAAAGCGATTTATTATGAGAATTATGAGCAACCTTAAGCGAGCATTCTGCCCCTCTGCGCTGTACTTGTACATACTTGCGTGAGAGGGGAAACTTCTTTTAGAGCGCGGGAGGGGGGTAGTCACCAGGTACCGAGAGCAAGAGAGAGACAGGCACAAGTTTAGAGAGAATATGTGTGTGCTACAGAGACTGACTGAGATGTGGGCTGTACTCAAGGAGGTGCCAGTAAGAGGCGGTACTGCCTCGTAAAATTTAGATTTACTTCTCTCTCCTTCTCTCACTTGTACTTGGCAGACCGCCATCAAACGGTCTACGTATATATGTATAGACATATAACACAAGCACTCGCCCACATACGTTATCTTTTAGGTATTTATATATACGTTGGCACGGGTGCGCGTGTGAGATAAATTTTACACGTGTATAGTCGATATAGTCAGAGTTTGAGCCTATGGATGGTTCGAATATACGATACTTATCAAATGGTACTGTACCTCGGACCCTCCTATCCACTGCATATTTGAATTCTAAATAAAGAACAGTAAAAGTATCCAATTATCAGCTATTGCGGATTGTAGTTTTATATCATGTATAATGATGAACGAGTTAAACAGAATATTGAATCACGCAATTATACATGGTAATTGATTATCAATGCGAATTTTCAAAACTAACTCGATTTTTACTCTTTGTTATGTAACTTTTGCATACCTCCCAAATAGAAATTCAGTTGCATTCCAGTAGTGGCTTATCGGATGTGAGCGTACAACTCTCGCCAGCGCATACACGTATCGAGGCCTTCAAGCAATAATAAATAATCCCCCTTGTATATAAAATGCCCGCAATATTTTCCCTCTTCACCCAACTATATAATGTACATGACCATAAATATTCAATCGAGGAATTTTGTATGCGCGTAATTTTGAACGAAAGAGATTATAATACATATATAAAAGCTGAGGCTGGGGCAAGTCGTTGCATTTTAATTTTACTCGCGCCGTTATGGAAGCTGACCTCGACTTGCACGAACCTCGATTCAATCTTTATGGCTTTTCCTCGTCTTATGTACATGTTTGATGTGCTATAGCAACACACATCAGAAAGAGATTCAGCCACCACGAAGAAAGAGAATAGAGTCAACGAAAAACTGGCAACATTGTGCTTGCTGTGTAAAGACCTATAAATCGCCTTATAATATTCCCTACGTCATATCTGTTACAGTGGATCTTGGCGCACGTACGTATATAAAAAAATTTCGATATTAAAATTCGACATCTTTGGCGCATCGTCTCTTTAAAGGGTTTATATGCTCTCTTCTCTCTTTCTCGCTCTCCCTCTCTCTCTCTTTCATTTTCTCTTGCCAGAAGCGCCAATTAATCTCGTATCTTGGCCCATCTTGCGTTCGTATTATGAAGGTTATATGTGAACAAATTTGTCAATATTAAGTACACGATAGTATAAAAGTTGTAAAACATTCTCAAAATCTCAATGAATGTAAAAAATCAATGTCGATTCACACATACATTTGTATGAATAATTAAACACATGCTATAGATTATAATGACTCTCTTGCTTCACTATGTTTCAATCGCTGCTTAATCAAGTTTTTAAGCAATACCTTTAGTATACCGCTAACAATCTAATCACACCAGACACGTTCAACAAAGTCATTTATCATTTTAACTTAGGTAGAAGAAAAAAAGATAGAAGAAGCTAAATTTCTACACACGGCAGCGATACAATTAAGTGCACGCACATCCCAAGCGATATAACTGCACGACTGCACAGTCGCTTTGAGGTGACGTATAAAACCTCGTCAAAATCATTTAGTTAATTACAATGGAAATGTATCAAGCAGACCAATGAAATGTACATTTTTTTGTCAAAAATAATTATCTAATAACTCATCTCGATCGCTTACTTCATTCATTTTACCCTTCGTAAAAATTATTCGCACTGTTCAACTCAGCGAAGATAAAATTAATGATAAATAATCATTTTACCTACAAGTCCTTGCCCTGTACCTACTTCATTTTTTCACCTTTTTGTAAATTATTGATATAGCATCGTCTGTACCTGCGATAATTGCTTCGACTTATCAGCTCAGAGCGAAAATCACACTCATACACTTTCATACATATACTCGTGGGGCTCGATCTCTTTTAATACAATACTTCTTAGGCCCGAGTAATTATGAGTTACGACTGCAAAACATATCTATATTCAATATATCTCGAAGAGAGAGAGAGAGAGAGAGAGAAAGGGAGAGAGAGAGAGAGACAAGAGCAGCGATAAAGGTAATAGCACCACGAGTACAATAATCCATATGCATGTGTATACAGCCTTACGCCCCCGAGAATTAGTAAAGTACGCGAGCGACGTACGTGGGTGGGTCTAAGGCGCGAAAAAAAAGCTGAACAATAATAAGCTAGTTCTTGTGAGAGTAAAGATCGAGACACCAAGATTATGGTAATTATGACCAGCCAACTAGAATGCATAAGAATCTATATACTCACATACGCACAAGCTTTCAAAATTTGATCGATTTTAAATCTTTGACCAATATTATATGTATTGGCTATTACCAAAAACGATACCTATCTTTATTTCTACTGGTCTTTGTTATTTCTCTCTTTATGCGATTTATATACTCACGTAAATTGTTATTATAAGATCGCGCGTTTCCGCCTATTTATCTGCACGCCTTCGCTCGTAGTGTTACAGGCAACGAGATTTTTTCCTTTTAAGCCAGAGCGATGATATTCAATGGAATGCTAAGACTGGATGTATTACACCATCTCTCTTTCTCTCACTTTTTACTGAAAAGAAAATATTGAAAAGTCGTGTGCAAACTGTTTGGACATTTTTGCCTTTATAAGCGATCTAAACGACTCGAGTATAATAATGGTATACATGCATATCGAAAGTGTTTCCGTTCAATGTCGAGAATATCAAGATACATCTATAAAGTGTATCTATATAGCATGGCTTCTGATACTTATATTTTAATTAAATATAGAGAGATAATTAAAATCTTGACTCCAGAGGATATATTATTTAACCATCTGCCCGTATAATAATTAAATTAATTACCAATTCGGCGCGTGTACAATACATATGCCAAACGCGTACACATACAAGCATTTGCCTTGTATAAATTATATCGTACGCGCGGCTTATTCAATTTTACAAATGAACCGAGTATACCTGCGCTCGCGTATGCTGGTAAAAATCGATAATCCGCATATGTATGCCGGTGCGTCGTAAAACTCGCAGGGCTCTAAAATGATAATGTTTTGCATTCAAATTACAATGATCGCGCGAGAGTCACTCATGAGGATCGATCGATTATCCTTCCTCGTAACATTGATCTTGGGTAAAGGAAACACTTAAAGTTTTACGACCTACAAGCGTTTCGAAAATGCGTGAAAATCGCTTTAATAAAGTCATCTCGCAACGCTCATCATTTGGAATTATCTCGTCGGTCTTTGAGCCAGCGCACTTAAGAATATACGCAGACTTGATTTACGACTTCTTGGCATCAGGTTGTACAGCGGCTACTGTGAATTTGTTTATTCATCACCTGCAAGTGCTTTTTGACACCTGCTGTACATCGTATCAAAATTAAACTGGACTTGGGTATTTCAATAAATTTTTAAATAGACGAAAAATCGCAGTTAAAGAATTTCGTGCATTCAATGAAATTTATCCAATTTGCATAATTTAACACCGTGATCGTAAAAAAACTTGGCCTATGAGTATCGTTAAAAAATGCGAAATTCTCGTAAAAGTGTAAAGCAGCGATTTTCATACAAAAAAATTACGCAGAATAAATTGCGGGTAATTTTCTCCGCCGCACAATCTTTCGTCACTTATAGAATCCGATTTATGTGCACACGCTGCACGATGACATTATATTATATACTCGTCAATTTTGCACGCGATAATAGAGACTTCTCGCTAACACAGCCGGCAATAAGCATAAATGATATTATATAGATTGCGTGTGAATGCAACGTGCGCATACAATAGCCTTTCGTACGTTTGTGTGCATGTGTGCATGTGTGATAATTCGTGTTTGCACGTGTGTACCAGCAAAAAAGCGATCGATCGAGAGGAGTCAAGGAACTTCGCCTCGCGGCTGACTCGTTAATATCGCGCGCCCAAGTGTATATGTTGTCGAAGCTTCTCAGGCGTATTGTGATTAAGTCGTCTAAGATTTCGCCGTTAGTAAACAATGAAAAGATAGATCGACAAAAAAATGTTCAGATAAATAATTTAATGATGGACGCTCATTGTAGCTAAGAAAGAATCTCCTTTGTTTTGTCTTTGGCTGATCAGGGCTTGCGGTAAACTATTGCTTAATAGACTTGTGTTAGTTTGAGTAGTCATGAAAGTTGGTTATATCGTGAAAAGTTTTGATTTGGTGGATCTCAAATGATTCGGAATTTTTACGTAAATGTTCGCACAAGTGAATGTATCAAAAATATAATCTTCTTTATTAAATACTGGTAATTTTGCACATTTCGACATGGGCATAGATTTTGGAGTGGTGAGGAGCTCTCAAGATAACTGAAAATAATGGTGGTAAGATAAGCAAAAATAAGAAATTGGCTGCAATTTTTTTGAGAATAAATTAATATATTTTTTTTTATATCGGTTATAATGATAGGTACTGTTTTTCGAATCTCAGTTTTATGGCAACTACGATGTCAATGAAAAAGTTGAACATTTTTTTATTTTGTTATGCATACAACTGTACTTAACATTTACTTCTTTTGTTTAAATGGATTTGCTATGGTCTATGGCATCATTTCATTCGATATATTTTTTCCCTTATGATCTTTACAGTTGTGATTTGTTAATTTTTCTCCCAAGTATACTTTAAATTCATCGACTATTGCTTCAAAATGTATATCGTTTTTTTCGGAATGGTCCGTTTCGAGGCCAATATTTATCTTTTATATATGTAATAGCTAACACGTCGATTAAATTACTACTGTCACTTCCAAAACTATTTACAATATAAATACATTTTTTACGCTCTATTATAATATAATTTTTTGCACCTTAATCAATATTATTTCTTTAGATTCGGAAATTCTTTATATGATAACATAGTTTTTTCATTTCACAAAAACATTATACTTTTCTCACCCAGATTCACGCACGCAATCCAACGTTGCTACACTGAGAAACAAAAAAAGTAAAAACTTTTACTTATTTTTCTTAATTTTGCTACAGTCGTTTGTATCTGTACCTCAGGGTAATCAATGTCTAGTATATTCATAAAAATGATTTGATTGAATAAAATTTTGCAGAATTTAATTAAAATAAAATACTTTTTTTTTAAAAAATCGATTGAACTTCCGAAAATTATACTGTTTAATGCTTTTGAATAATTTTATGCTTTGTCACGATCGTAGTTTTAAACTATATGATTTATATGATAAAATCCATTCGCATCGGATAACTTGATAAAAAAATTGATTTTGAGTCTTGATAAATAACCAATTGAGTACAAATGAAATAGAAAATTATAAAGATTATACTGCTAAATTTCTCAATGTATCTATGTTATTATAAATTTTTTTATTCTAAAAAATGTTGTTCTTGTAATTTCGTACAACTGATATCTTTTCTCTTGAAATTGCTTTATTGCACGGTAAATTTTTAAGTTATCTATGTAATGGGGATTAATCGTGAACCACAAGCAAACCCGCAACCAGTATGAAGGACAATTGGGTAAATTAGCCGACGTGAGTGAATTGCAAGAGTAGCCGAGGGAAAGGTTTTCTGATGTTTTACTCCACTTAATAAAGGCATTATGCAAAATTTTTAAGCAAAACCTCATTTTAGGATATGTTAAAAGCGATATGAGTCTTCTTATTTACTCATTCACTGATATATAATACATTTTGCACAATCACACACGTTTCTTACTTTTTTATATGCACATCAGCGAGGAAAGATCCTTATTCGTGTCGTCGTATCGATGCACTGCATTATTTGGAAATTCTACGTACTTTTTCTATCTATGTACAAATCATTAATGATAATAAATTTTTTAGTTTTCTAAATCGATTCATCACATTCACACAGTCATATATAATTCAGATTCAGATATTTTAAATTATTCACTCTTCACTTGCTTATGATAAAAGGTGGATCTCGTCCATAGACCTGACCGGTCGAGAACGGATAAACCATAAATTCAGTCTCATCCTCAAGAAGCCTCCCTCCACCATCGAAGCCAGGACTACGCGAGACTCGGCGATGTGGGCACCGAATTGGCCGAGCTGACTGGCGATGCGGCCGGTGACTTGAAGTCCTTGCCGGTAACGTGGCTACTGCTGCTACTCAGCTCAATCACACTTACGTTTTTGTGATTGCCCAAGAGACTGTCGATGGAAAAAGGATTCAAGCGACGCCTGTCCTCCCTACCCTTAACCGACAGATCTATACTGCCACTCTGTGGCTCGTCATCGGGTCCGCAACTACTCCTTCGTTGCGACGACGAGGTCTGTTGCCCGTCGGCAGCGGCGGAGCTCGCTTTGATCAACTCCCGACGTCGCTCAAGCAAGCTAAGACCCCAATTGTGTATGCCTTGCTGATGATTCAAGTGCAAATGATGTTGACCGAGCTGAGTCGATAACCTCCGCTGATGCTCGACGTCGCTCAACTGAGGCGCGATCCGCGTCGCCGGATACGATTCCCCATCGATCGAGCCGTCGGCCGCCGAATCGTCAACTCGCTCGCTGCCGCTCTCGCTGCAAGAATCCAATCCACCGACAACGTCAATTTCTTCGTTCGCTTCGAGCAGGCCTTCGTTGTTATTGTTCGTGCTGCTGTTATTGTTGTTGAGGAAGCCCCCATTTAGAGAATTCGAGCCACTACCTGACGCAGCGGCTGCGTTTCGTGATTCCCACTCGGCTTTCAACGTCGTCAAATCCACTGTAATACCCTGTTAACAGTAATCAATGTGACAATTTGCTAAATAAGTTTAATAATATATCATTCATTTCCTATTTTTAAATAACAAAGTACGAGTTTAAAACGGGAACATAATTCTCGATCGCATTGGCCGAGCAGCTACATAGCTCAATGAGGTAGACCAAAAACCCGAGCCAGCAACCTTTAATTTATCAAAAATAATTAAAGTATGCAAATGACCTAATCAGCTGCGCCCTCTCGGGCACGAGAATTAATTTCCCGACACGAGCCCGGTTTCGAGAGCATATACATAGTGTAAAAGAAAAAAATACAAGGAAAGAGCACATTTATCTATGTTTTAATTTAAACACTTCTCGGGCTGTGCGAGAAATAGCCTGGTCTCTTATTAACTTGTCTCGCGTTTAACAGCGGCAACACACGGTTCCCGCGGGCTCTTTTTTTCATTAGCACAACACTGAATGATTCTTGCATGTAAAAAATTCGCTTTAAGAGCCGAGAATAACACAGGTCATACACACGCACACGTGATGTGTGTGAGTTTGTGTGCGTGCACGTAAGATTAATTTAGATTTCTTCGTTCTCACCTTAGCCGCCAATTTTCTTTGCTGCCTTTCGAGGGCCTTCATGAGCTTCTTTTGCCGCCTGTCGCGTTCCTTTCTGCGCAATTCCTCCGGCGGTATCGGCTCGCCACTGCAGCTCTGCGGATGCGCGTTGTGCGCCGGCCTGCCTGGCCCTTTTTTCGTGTGCTCCTTCTTGCGCCATTTGGCTCGTCGATTTTGAAACCAGACCTGTTGAGGAAACAAAAAAAAACCATCACCTTCGATTAGCGCTCGTTTTAACCTCGTAAAACATAACAATATAACATTCGGCAACTCGTCTACACGAGAAAAAAGGGGAGTACATATCGTATATAAAGACATTTTTGTTTGCAGCAGTATACGCGCACGCGAGAATCCAACTCGAAATCGATCTACTCCATTATATACGAGTTTGTGTGAGTGTGTATACATGTATATATGGATAGACGAAAATTATACGTTGTTGGCCCCTCTGCAGTCGCGTGTCACGGGTTTTCGTTTTTTTTTTTCACGCGATAACAACACTGTGTGCGTATTTTGTGCATACATGCTTCTCTATAAGTGTAGCTGAAATTCCATGAAACGTTTTTTATAACTTCAATCAAACTAACAGTTTGTTGCCGGATTTTTTAATAATGTTTCTGAAAATTATTTTAGTTTGAAAAAATGAACATTTTGTATCAGTTTTTTCTCAAGTAGTTAATACTGTAAAAAAAATCTTTTAAATAAGTATCAACGTAAGATTTATCCTTACCGAAAATGAAGATAAAAAATTTGTTATAAATGTGCGTAGGAAAAATTGAAAAGTAATGGGTTGATTGTGGGCTTAATTGAATCTAATCGAATAATAAGATGATAATTTAAACGGAGTGAAAAAACGATACAGTTCTGTCGTAAATAACCAGATATTGATAAACTTATAAACGCCTCGTTTTTATCATTCAAGCGATAATGAGCCAAGAACGCAAAATTGATTTCCTCGTCAAGTAGAACAAAATTATCAATCCAAAATACCCAGACACCAAGACTTGATCATATTTAAAACTTTCTTCAAAAATTCAAATTATACTGGGATAAACCAGAAAAAAATATATGTATGTTTTCAAGTCAAATTAAGATCTAAGGGTCAAAATTCAATTAATTAAAACCATACTAGCTTGCGCATTCATTTATATTTCGTAACGTAACTTATCACAGCAATCGTTGCACATACTCAATTCTGTGATGTACTATGAGCATGTTAATTTAAAAATATCACAAAGAAATGCGTGTAATAATACATTTTTTATCTTCGCACAAAATTGAATGAACATACGTGCGTTATAATCAAGTAAAGATTGCCAACACAAGTGAATGAGAAAATGAAGCACGCAGGAAAAAAACGAAATAAACTTCCAAGAGATATGTCTAACTCTATGACAGATTAATCTAAATGTACTTTTAACTATTTTTATTTTGTGAAAAATTGCGCCGAGAGAAAGAGAGAAATAATAATCTAGCACATTTCTGGACGAAAAAAGTTGAGCTTTTAAAGTTGAAAATGTGAATACATGTATCATGCGCAGAAAGTCTCGCGTCTTTAACTAATTATCCATCTAATTACTCGGGCTACATACTTTTTGCAAAGCCCTTTGATTAAGCGTATTATGGGCACGTACATATAGAGCAAATCTGTTCAAGCGAGTATTTTGACTTTTGCCGTGGCCAATCAGCAAAGTGGGAGAAGTTGACAGAAGTTTGCGCTTTTTTCGCACTTGATAAAACTTGACACGCGATACCGGCAGGAGTCACGCTAGCTTATAATGCCTACGTGCGATTGCCTAGCCACGCTCATGTATTTAATGTCTTTTTTCTATACCATGCGTATTAACGCGCAGTCACGATAATGCCAGCAAGTTTTTCTTTATCAATAAATGTCAGATGCTCCATACATATCTCAAAAAATAAATATCGAATTGCGTAATTGAAAATATCTATGATATCACAAAATGAATATCAATAAAGGGTAAATTGAAAAGAAACTTGATGGGTTCTAGTAGCATTTATTTATATAATTAGATCTTGGCGAACGTAAAAACGTCCTCTTGATTTAATATTTCAAGCCAAGGTAATGTTCGTTTGCATTTCTTCTTTTTTACGTGACGGTAATATATTTTATTACTTTTTGGCTCGTCAACTCATCGAATCGGATGAAAATCAGCATCAGCGTTGCAGCGTATCAACAATCAAAACAACGAGAGCAGGCGAAGATTTATATCCTAATGTCGAGTGAAGGCGATAAAAGTAACTTCATTATCCGAACATCGAGAAGCAAATCTCGATAATACGAGAGAGCAGCGCGGAGGGTTGCAGATACGCAAGCTTTTGTGACTCAGCAGAAGACTTAGTGCGCGCACGCCTGGCCACGTGTGTTAGGGGGGTCGATAATATTTCGCGATACATATAAACAAGCCAAAAGATAAATCCTACCGAACGCGCGCCGATGGTTAATTCGCATGTCCAAATAATGTAAGCGCTGATATTCACCGATTGAAATGCAAAGACATTCGAAAGCCGAAAAGAGAACGTACGCGCCGATGTGGGTTCCACCGAGCGCATCTGTGAGGGCATATATACCAATAATAAATATGCCAGGAACCGAAAGTAACGTATGTTACGATTCATAGGGAGGGGCGAAGAAAGAAGGAGAGCTGCTTCACGATCAACTCAACCAGCCGTGAAATTGAAGTCTGACCCCTGCTCCACATGTGTACTCGTGTATTGTACGTTTATACAATGTACATGCGTTGTCAACTATCACACTTACATAGAAATATTCGAACGAAGTATAGTCCACAATCTTTATTACCATGTTCGTGTAATGGGTACGCGCGCGTGTCACTTTGCTAACTTTTTTGAAGATTTATCCTCTTACGATGCACTGCTACTGGTTACAAATTGCATCAATTAAGCTTTATAATATTAATGTGATTTGAATAACTAAATTGTTGTTGAATGAACGCCTCAAGGCTATTAATTGGTTTCGAATTGTTCAAATCAAAACAAAACTATACCCTATTTGGCATGGCTCTTGGTATTTAAAAATGTAAAATTGTTCAATTTTTGGCACAATTTTATATTTCCTGACAAGCTCATCTTTCTGTCTCAAGTGTACGCTTGGGCCTCACTATAAAATCATTGTACTCCCATGAGGCCAAATTGCTCCTGAAAGAAACAAAAAAAGCGAATAATTTACGAACCCTCGATCAATAGAGTTTCCGGCCCCACAATAAATTGGATAAGCTAAGAAATTTACTTATAATATTGTATTTTTTATAGACGCATAACCTATAAATGTGTTACGGTCGATTGATTTGAGCATGTGTGTATGCATACCGGAACAATTATTCGGTGCAGTCGAATCAATCATACGATAAGGGCCTTATTAGATTAATTTATTACATATTCGGGGCGTGAAGCACATTAGCACAAGAAATACTCGTAAAAATTTAGACATGTATTAAAATTTAAAAGCGAAGGAAATGAAGAGAAACTTACCGCAACGCGACTTTCCTTCAGCTCGAGTCTGACTGCCAGTGCCTCCCTCATGAAAACGTCGGGGTAATGGCTCGTCAAAAAGGCCCGTTCGAGCTCTTCGAGTTGCCAGCTGTTGAAGTTGGTCCGGCTGCGGCGTCTTTTGCTACTACCGTCGTCGCTCTCACCATCGCAGCCTGCCAACAAGAAAAATGTACGTTCCAGCATTAATTGTAACATGCCTCATTGATTTTTCAAAGCATCTCGTAGGTTTACAGTTTGATACATGGTGCATTTATTATCGCTTTCAAAATAAGATTTTCGGTCGCACACAGGCAAGAATTGAATTCGTTTAAAATATATATTAAATGGATTTATTTTGTCATGTTGTTCGTAGTATTACATTATTTAAGGATGCAAGTATCGGATAAATGCGTATTTTCAAGGAGACCCTATTATTTATTTTGAATTCGAAGCAAAAACAATAGTTTCGCAATTTTATTTTGACTTTCAACTATTACTCGCTCAACCGAATATTTGTAAATTATTATTCAACAATCTACAGGAAATGAAATGAGTCAAGTCCGTATTTGCATCACATTTCCCGTGAAGTAATTTACTCGATCGATTCATCTTCGTGAGCAGAGAGATAGGGATGGGAATTGGCATGATGATGAAATTAACGGCTGTTGCTATTCTAAGAATGAACGCAGTCAAGAAAGGTAGTATTATCGAGCTCTGCTATCTTACGAGCGTAAAAATTTGTATTTTGTTTGATTGAGAATTGCTCATTTATACATTAGTTGTTGAATGAAAATCTCTACGTGGATTTGATGTTATCACAAGTGGAACCAAATTATCGATTCGGCAAAAGTGTTCTCTAAATAATGTAATTACGTGTCTTTTTTTGCATTGATTATCGAGACTTAATGGAATATTTCGATTGAACGAGTCCGTAAAAGTAGATAAATTTCTTAATTTTAGGAACAAGCGAGTTTATGTCATGGCTTTTATAGCATAACATGCAATGATTTCGTGTTCTGTGGTCATTTGGACTTGCGAAAAAGAGCTACAACATCATTTCCCTGCGCGCATACACGCTTGCCTAGTTTGCATATAAATAATAAGGTTTCGTGCACGGCATTTTAAAAATTAATTTTTTCCTCTCTAGCTCGCGAGACGCACGCATGCAAATAATCTCACTCACACGTCGACAATCATATAACACACACGCACGCACGCTACAGAGGTAAAATAATTATTCGTGCAGAGGGTGTATTAGTAAATTGAAACAATAGAGAGATTTGTAATGCTACAAATAGCACCTCTCTTTCTTCCAAATCGAGTAAGAGATTTGCGACCCCAAGAAGCGTATAAATAATGATTTTGTAAAAGCAGTCAGTAGAACTGATTATTTTTCACACCGACGTACACATGCTCAAGGACCACTGTGTAATTAAGGGTCATTTGTAACGATAGCTGAGTAAAACCACTTAATTCCTGGCAAATTTGAAACTTTGAAATACATCGTGCTCAAAAAGCAATTCAATTTCAAGAATTCGATTCAAGTATTATCATTTTTCAGGCTTTAGTTTAACATTGGATGTTATGTAGCAAGTAATGATCTCTTGTCAAATTATACAATTTCATGACCGAAGCAGGCGCATGTGCAGTTTTAAAACTTGGCTATGTGCTTCGAATGTCAATATAATATGGACGTTGTTAGGTAATTAAATTAAGTACCGACGACATATATGCAATATACATGTATGTATACATAAATATATGAATGTCGTAGAAGAGATCGATGTATTAAAAGCCCGCGTGAAATATTCTTGATAAAAGAGACATGAGGGAAAAGTGCACATGCCGATTATATATATCTATATATGTGTAAGCTGCTTATTCATGGTAATTGATCGAGCTCGTAATAAAATCTTAATATCAACTGCTTGACAGGTTTCGAGGATTAAAAAGTTTTCTTAGATATTAACACCTTCGACTGGATACATGCGCACGAGAGACGATAACTTGCTTGAATTTATGATGAAAAAGCCAACCAATCAGTCGTAACTCGTACTCAGATTCGTGAAGAGGCATAAAATTTCTCACGAATTTTTTATTCATATTATTTACTTGGCGAATAAAAGTTGATTGGCACTTTTAATGAGCTCATGCAAAATTGTCATCAATGCGAGCATGTGCAACGCCTTAGTAAAAATTTGACATATTGTTATTAAACAAATGAAAACTTGATAAATAGACAAAGTGCGCCCTGTATGTAATTTCAAAAATATTTTTTACTATCCTGCTCACGCACTCGCGCGTATAGCTCGACTCAAAATGAATTCATCAATAGCCTTGGCTGTAAAAAAAGGACCCTAAGGCTCGTCGCGGCGCGTTTAATAAAGCGCTCAGCTCGCTCAAACTCAAAATAACATGCAATTAAATTGAAATTACACACCCCGAGTTGCTGCCGGTACACTCCTCGAGGCGCGTATACACACGCGAGGCGCAAATGATCGCACTCGTTTAAAAAAAAAACACGTGATCTTCTCCGCATTTCGCGCGATCTACAAAAAATTACACATTCAAATGGCGCGCAACGAGCAGCGTATTTCTTTGCGAAATTTGAGAAGAGGATTTTTCGAATAATCGATTGCTTGCAGGATTTGATACGTCACATAACTTTACTTTTACAAACGGTTAGCTTTTAGAAAGATGTATACATGAACAATCGACGTTACGCGCTACTCGTCTCATTTTTTAATTTGCCCCAAACTTCTTTGAATTCCAACGAGGCTAGATGGGATGCGCGCACACATGACGAGAGAGTAATCATACACTCGCCGAGGCTTTATAATTGTTTAAGATGAACTCGTTTCGCCGTGAGCGTCGGAATGCGCGGCGTCGAACGTGTTTGTGTAAAACACGGCGTGCACCGCGTCATAATATTAGCTCCGTAATTCAGTATCCAAGATTGGAGAATTGTATATTTACCGGAGGTTATTGACATGCAATGTTCATGAAAAGCTTGATTCCAAACAACATATATGTATAAAAGTAAAATATATCGTGAGAAAATCGGACGATACAAATATATTTATAAGCTCATCAGCGCTATGAACGAGTATGTCCTCAAGATATTGTACGTGGCAGTTGTCTCCTTAACTGGTCGTTCAAAGCAGCGTATAATAGGCGAAACAACATTACGAGCATCAATCTGCCTCGTTTTTGTTACACCTCTGCTTCGACAATGGTTAAACGACATCGTTGTTGTCGTCGTCGTAGTCAACGACCATTTTGGGGCGTCTCAGCAGTCTCGTTAGGCGATATATAGCATTGTGCCCGAAGCAACACCTACGCACCTTGGGCGTCTCCTTTTTCACTTCATTAGACTCGTTTCTTTAAAGCTATCGTGTTAAACACGACTCTAGTTCGAATGCGAATTAATTAAGCTATCAAAGAAATAAATATCTACGAGACGATGGAAAAAAAGAGTAGCATGAGAATTCAAAAGTTGATTGATTAGATGATTGGTCGGAGGAGAAGTCAAAAGAAAGAGGGAAAGAGAAGTAGTGTCATGAGCATACGCGGGGCTTGTAACTGCAAAGACTGCAGGCTCAGCTTTTGTTTTTTCCACGTGCGCGAGGAGCGTGTTCACGAGTGCGGCAGCAGGAGCAACTTGTAATCATGGCCTGTGCGCACGAGCTCGCAGAGGCAGTATCCGAACAATTAGTTAATTCCTGTCTCGCAAGAGATACCCTCGCGCGGCTCTGCCTACCTATATGCAGCGGGCGCACGCGATCAAAAGAGATTTATTGGAGCAGTTACTTGCTGCTCACAGATGTCTTAATATAATGTTATTTATCTGATTTTGTATTACAAATAGCGCGTGAAAAACGTGATCGAGGCCCAGAGAGTAAAAGATGGATGAAATTTTACTGAAACGAGAGCGTAGTATACAGGATGCTTAGGTAATTATGCCATTCGGCCTGGAGAGCGCGTCGAGCGATTAATCTTTGCAAAGGGATTAATCAATCCTTTGCAGCATAATCGCTATAGAGAGGAAAACGACACGTTGCAGTGGAACGCGCAGCTATTGTCTCTTAGCCTATGCCATATTAATTGCATTACTTTATAGATCGAATTATAAAGCATTAAACGTTACTGCACATAATATAATGCGATACGTGTAGCGGCGCATGCACAAGCGAATGAAAGAAACGCGCGAGAGATAGGTGGATTATTAAGTTGTAAGGCGTTAACTGGCATATAAGGCGTCGGTAGGTGGGATCTTTCCTCTCTTTTGCGTGCGAGCACACGCGTATACACGTACACCGTGTATATATGCGCGCAAGCCGCATTTGCATTTAGACACCATCAATCCTTCTGACGCCTGGGCAACGCGTATATGCCTCGTCGAAAGTCTCTCGGCCAAAAGTCTCGAATTAAATATCACTTTTAATAAGGTAAAAGAACCTCTTTTTTGCCTGCCTATAATAACGTGCTTCTCTCCGATCCTCGTTCCCCTTCTCCCCCTGTCAGCTTTTCCAATGAATATTTATAACGGGTCAAACGCGCATCTTTGTAATTGAATATATACGCCACATGCGAGAATTTAACAATTAAACGGTAATAAATAATAACGATGGATGCGAGCCCGATGTAAAAACAATCAGTCGTTAAAATCGCGCGCACCTCGTTACATCTCCATCGGCTTGTACGTAGCACGCGTTCGCCTATGCGCACATACACTACTGTATAATTGACAAGCTCTCACTCGTACGCGCAATTATTTTCACAATGAGCCGCGCTTGCAATTTCTCCGAAATCGATTTAAACTCGACCGCGTGTGCTTTTGCTCGGTATCGAGTAATTTTCTATTTTCCCGCGCCCACTTCTCTTCATCATTTATATACAGATGCTTTTTTTCTTGCCCTTCCTTAATCTCATTGTATGATGTGTGTGTGTGTATGTGTGTGCAACGTACATACACAAACTCGGCTGGGCGCGAACCCAAGCTTTCTGCGATAAAATCTTACAACGTGCTCGGTTAATTATACATTAATACTAGAGAGGCTCGCGTGTGTATGTCGATCCCTTGGACTCTCTCTCTCTCTCTCTCTTTCTCTCTCGTCGATTATTACAAGCCTTTCTCCCTCCCGTTGAACCTACAGAGACTGCGGCTAAGGAA